TTTTGTTTTGTACTACCCTAAAGATGCTGATATATATATATACTAACCTAAAGATGCCACAATTCGCCGTGTCCGTGTCCTAAAGATGCTGATATATATATATACTAGCATATCAGTGATATATATATATATTCCAACTTAAACATATCAGTGTTTTTTTTTTAAAATTATTAATGCTGATATATATATATATATATATATATATATATATATATATATACTATTCGCCGTGTCCGTGTCCTAATTTTTTTGGATTTGCCGTGTCGCCGTGTCCGTGTCGTGTCGTATCCGTGTCCGTGCTTCTTAGATTTTTACACCTAAACCAGTGCATGACTTCTAGCATAATTAATTTCATTTGCATTCAGATTTCTTAGTTGTGCATTGTTCTAGTTTATAATTTAGTTTACTTAATTCAATTTGAGTTCTATGTTGGCATTATCCTCAACCATTCGTATGTCATACCTTTCCACCATGACCATCAGCAACCTTCTTTAACTTTGTCCATTTACCTAATCCTCTTAACAATGTCAGAGGAGAACATCGTTTTATGTCCCCAATGGCTTTGTTCTAAGCCAAGCAAGGTTAAGATTGTTGAGTCCAAACAAAGCTTCCCATCACACGGAAATAGAATTAACTGGTGTGAAAATGAAAGGGAAACAAAAACAACACTGAAAATAAATTTGGAACAACTTCTTCTGAAAATTGGAAATAGGCTTTTTCAACCTCCATCCTCCATCAGTGAGCTCCTTTGGTTGCTTAACAAAACTGATCACTTGCTTTGCAAAGTACACCAGGACCCATGTGCTTCAATGCAAGCTGCACTCCCTCCAATAATGAAAGCTTTAATTGCTAAAGAATTTTTAAAGCATTCAAATGGTGATATTAGAGTTGCAGTAGCCTCATGCCTTAGTGAGTTAACAAGGATTAGAGCCCCAGATTTTCCCTATAATGATGATCAAATGGTAGAAATATTCCAGGTGATTGTATCATCTTTTGAAAATCTATCTGATACATCTAGACCATCGTATGGTAAAAGGGTCAAAATTCTCAACACATCTGCAAACGCCAAGTCATGTTTGATAATGCTAGATTTGGAATGTGAAGAGTTAATTGTTCAGATGTTTTGGTACTTTTTAAAGGAAATAAGGGATCATCATTTAGATACATGGAACAAATTATGACTCTTCTATTGGAGGAAAGCGACCATATCTCAGTAGAGCCACTTCGTCCTCTTCTAGCTAGTGTTAGAAAGGAAAATCAGACTATTTCACCAGAATCTTACAAGTTAGGAGAAAAAGTTTTGAACAATTGTGCTACAATTCTTAAGTCTTGTCTTTCAAAAGCTCTACAATCCATGGCCCTCTTGTCAATTGATTTTGCTGAGATAGTCGCTTATGTTTGTCAAGATGAATCTGAAAAAGAGAATTTTGAATATAGTCACATCTCTCCAGTGTTGGCAAAAGAAGAAAAAGTGACTAATGATGTTCCCCATGTCACATATGAGGAGGTGTTGGATTCTACACCACCTAAATTTGTTAATGAAATTAAAAATGGGACAATTGAGGAACCTCCAACTAAATTGCCACACATGAATGTTGAGCAACACACCATTGCCTTAGCCCCAAGATCATATTCATTTGATGTCCTAAATGACCATACACATCCTAGGGAAGATGTTGAACTGAATGAAACAGATGATAAATTTGCACAAAATGAGATCACTCAAGATTGCATTGAAGAGATTGGTAAACTTCACAAGTCATTCACTGCCATTGTGTCAAACAAGGATGTCAAGTACAACAGTAATTTTGGGAAGACACTTTGGATATTCTTAGGAACAAATTTGAAGTTTCTTTTTGCATCTTGTCCTTTGAATGATAGAAAAATTGAGGTTGTGAATCAAGGTCTAGGAAAGTTGGTTAGTTTTATTACTAGCATGCGTCTAGACACTTGGAACTTGTTTTTACCTATCATGGAGTATGTTTATACAAGTTTGACTAATCAAAGTACTGGAAGTTGTTCTTTTGAGATTATCTACCATTCTTTACTATGCCAGTCCATTGATTATAATCCTTCGCCTCCATGTATGTATTCACTTGAGTTTCTTGATTCCTTTATTCAGCTTGTTCATGATTTTCATACCGATATGCGACAAGAAATTGTCTTAAGTAAAAAGAATTATGAACTCGTTGCATATGCTCATCATAGGAATCATGAATTTAATGAAGATGATTATGCTATAATTTGTGCACTACCTCAACCTTGTCATAAAAACTCCTTCCAGATAAAACATGCCAAAATTGATAGACTTTGCCACATCATTCAAAAATCAGGACCTAATGCGTATTTCTTTGACTGGTCTTTGGATACGAGTACTAGTTCAATTTTTTATGTGGAGTATCTGTTACCTAACCGAGGCACCTTTGAGCCTCCTATTTGGTTGGCATGTGTTCCTACAGGCAGTGTTCCATCTTTCTCAGCATCAGCACCGGCACTTCCGTCGTCTCAGCTGCAGTATATGGATTGGATTGATCGTATTTGGGACGTCCACAATTACCTTCTAGCTTCAGATTTTATTTGGATTGTAACAAAACAACTTTATTATATTGACTCTTACTTTTTGAAGATATACATTTGCATTTACTCTCTGGAGGAGAGTTCTTCTCAACCGAGAGAGAATGATGGAGAACCGGGCCTGGCCCGAGAGCTTGGAAACCACATAGCCCACACCTACTATTGGAGATGTGGGAAAGAAAGAAAGAAAGATAAAATTAGGGATTTTTGTTTATTTATTATTATTATGGGATATTTCAGCAATTTAGGGTTTTATTTATGGTAATAGGTTGATTAGGGTTTTTCTTCGATGCCTATTTATATGTTGGTTTAGACATTGTGAAAGTCAGCTTTTTATGATTATTATTGATATTGAATTTGAAATTATCTGTGATTTCTTCTCCCTCTGAATTCTTCTCTCTTCTGATTTCTTTCCCTCTATTCTTATTCCCTTTCTCTCTCAATCTCTTTCTTATTCTACATGAATTCTGATTTCAAATCACCCCTACCCGCTGCTGCATCACTTTTACTAACTCTTAAAAATCATTTAACACAAGTAGTGCAATATTTATAGATTCTAAGTCGTCATCTTTATTTAAAAGGCTCAGTAAATATGATTTTACTAAATTAATGAATAATAGATTTAAGCATTAAATTAATGAAAATTCATACCTTGTATAACATTTGAGAAGAGAACATAAAAAAATAAAAATAAAATAAGGCTGAAAATAATAATAAATTAGAAAAAATATAATACAAGTCAAAAGTACCAAGAAAATTGTATTTATTGTATAACAACATAACATGTGTATAATTTATTATCATATTGATTATTATATCTGTGTGTACCTGATTTTCGAGTCAAACTAAAAATGAGAATGTATCCGGGAATATCCCTAAAACAATGTGAGAAATATAGAAGAGTGGATTGAGGGAGGGAAAATCAGCCCAATCTAAGAACTGAAAACAATGGTAGAGAAGAACAAAGTTTGGAGTCATTGACTGAGCCCGATTTTTCTCTGGTTGTCTTCTTTTTTTAGCCACCTTTTTATAGCCCTAGGTCATCCAGACTGCATCTGTTGGGCCTGGATAAAGTGAGTCAGGGCCCATATCCCTTTATGGATCATGATGCCCTAATCCCTACTTTTCCAGATCTACTGCCAGGTGTACGTACCTTCCTTGAATGACCTAAAATAGAGCTATAAGGGTCTCTGTGATTAGTCTAGCCTGTCTTTCGCTTTTTCTCCTCAGATTGGGTCTGCCTTAGCAAGACTCAAAGCTGCTTCTCCATCCTCCATTCCAAAATCCCTTCAGCATTCAAAATGGTCTCGAAGAACCCTACCATAACTCTTCGTCACTAGTTCCCCCGCCCAGCGCGTCATGTCGAGGGTCCAGGCCCATCAATCGACGGGCCATAACTTGGATCGAGGTTCCGGGCCCATCGATCAACAGTTTATGGCTTGGTCAAATCGAGATTCTGGGCCCATCAATCAACAGTTATGGCTTGGTCAGATTGAGGTTCTAGGCTCGTCGATCGACAATCTGGCTTGGTCAGATTGAGCTTTTGGCCCATCGATCGACAATTCATAGCTTGGTTGGATTGAGGTTCTAGGCCCATCGATCAACAATTCATAGCTTGATCGGATCGAGGTTCAAGGCCATCGATCGACAATTCATGGCTTGGACGGATCAAGGTTCTGGGCCCATCGATCGAGTGTTCTTGCTATGGGCTTACGTCTTTGCTGAGCTAGCTAGTCTATGTACATCAATCGAGTGTTCAAAGCATTATGTCTTGTACCTAACAGTGATTGTATACATTGACTACTTTGCTGACGTGGCTACCTTGCTGGCGTGGCTTAACTTACATCCACAATATCTTACTTTTTGTTTAATTATAATTAATATATTGTGCATGTAACTAAGGATAAAATTAAAGGACCAGTTTAGATTAAAGAATAAACTATCGTTGGTAACAATAGGAATAAAGTCTGTAAAGCATAAACTTGTACATGACTACAAGAATTATACATTCGCAACATGTCTGAAAGTACAATTAATTTTTCGATTATGAACACATCCAATATGCGTTTGACATGCATCCAGGAGAAACTAACACTTGTCAAACAAGGACAAATCTCCTCATCCGGAATGTCCGCCATTCTTACAACACAATGAAAGGATTATAGAATCTTATAAGATATAACACTTACTGACAAGATAAATATAAAAGAGAGATTTGCAGTGCAAGATTTCACATATAACAATAGGCAAAGAAACTAGACTACAACAGTTACACTATTCAAGACAACTAATGCAGAGCAAGGTCAATGTATGTGCATGTTGTTTAACGTATGTGCATGCTCCATACTAATCCAGACATAAGTGCAGAAATTAATAGCCGAGCATAAACTATAAAAGCAAATAAAATCATTGTCAGGAGTACTCACATCTTGGTCCATCTGCAAGTTAGATTCCTCCAGGGATTGGCTTGAATCCACTAATATTGTGTGTTTCCGTTTATTAAAGAAGTCCCAGATACGTGCCTGTTGAAAGTTTTTAGAAAGAGAGTGTTTTTTCCTTCAGTATTAAGTACCTAAAGAAAGAAAAAAAAAAATTTTTGAGAGAAAATAAATGCGGAAGAAGAATCACAGGACAAACCTTCTCCAACTCTATCCCTTTAAGTGCGCACACTCTCTCATAAAGCTCATGTAATGAAGCCTGAAACGTATTTCAACCAATCAAAAGATGAATGACAGGTAATAACAAGATGAAGACTTCCATATACCATAACAACCATAAAATGTCATATTTTTTAGATCCAGATCTCCTCTGTTTGTGTGTCTATGCATGCATGTGCATGTGCGCATGCATGGTGTGTGTGTGTATGTGTGTGTGTGTGTGTGTGTGAGAGAGAGAGAGAGAGAGAGACCAACAACCAACCAAGAACACTTTTTACTGTTGGTATGATATACCGCTCAGCTATCTCTATTAAACAAATATATGTGCACAAGATTAAGTAAACAAAACATTAAAATACATCGCAACAAAACTATTCTCATCGAAAAACTAATTTCCCTAGGCCAGATGAACTGACAATAATGTGTTTGTGTGAGTGAAGGCACCCATCTGTGTGAAAATAGGAAACAAGGCAATGTCGGGATCCAGTTCCAAAGAACCATGATACACTACTGGGCAAGCCCCAAATGTCACTAATACAAAATGAGAACTGAAATAACAAATTTCCTTTTTTCTTTTTCTTTTTTTTAAGTAATGAAATAACAATATTACTGTAATATTGGAAACAAAGGGTCAATATTTGGTATATCTGCAAAGAACTTAGCTTGGTAAAATACGATGAGAGAATGTCTAGACATTATATTCATTTAGCTGATTTGCTTATTCTAATTTCAAACTAATAGATGTAATTGAAAAATAGGCAGATAAAAACAAAAAAAACAAAAAAAAAAAAAAACCCTCTATATTTCAAGCAATATGCAGCCCACTGAGTACATGAATGGCTATAGTAAGAGGGGCCATGTGATTATTATTATTTGCTATTACCCATTAGAAAGGAAAGAAAGGAACAAATGAAGTGAGAGGTAGTACCTTTCTACTCAACCTTATAACTAATTGGCTGTTATCTCTTGAATCAATTAATTTCAGGCATAGAGGGTAAACTTCCACTATGAACGCCTTTTGAACACCCCGAGAAATCAACTTCCTTGGTAATGCCGGTCCTCCTGAATACCTAAGAAAAACGTGATGAAGAAACAGAAAAATGTGAGCAGCATACAGAAAGCACACTTCCCTATGTAAACAAGGGAATCAAAATATCCAATGATATTTGGACATAGACCCGTCAAATCTTGTGAACATGGGAATCAAAATATCTAACTATTATGGACCCATACAAATCTTGAAAACAATCTAGCATAAGAGGTGGCAATGCAGTTGTTGCAATGCTGTCGTAGGCATTATATTAGGGAATACATTGATTTTGTTAAAGGCTACAAAGACATGGAATTTGCGTAGGCCAAGCACTTAAATATATCATGAGTCCATTTTATTCAAGATAATAAGCTTCTCCAAATGTAAATGGGCCAAGTGTAAATTGTGTGTAGGCCAAGCACTTAAAAATATCATGATTCCATTTTATTCAAGATAATAAGTGTTGAAAAGGAAAGATTTGGTAGTAATACTACCAAATATTATTAGTTGTAAATATAATATTTGGAGGATATTTGTTGTAAATAGAATATTGGTCAAATGCTGTAAATTAGGAAATTATTAATAAGGCCAGCTAGTTATGTGCATGTATTCTCTCCTATAAAGAGAACCCGTGTAAACTTGTGAATTGTGTGCTAATACAAAAAAAAAAAAGTTTATTCCATATTTCTTTCCTTTCAAGTTTATATAGTATCAAAGCCACTCTAAAAAAAAAAAAAAATAAACCCTAAATTTCTTTTCTGCACAATTTCTTTGCTGATCAACTATGTCTGACGTTTCCTCCATGTTAACCTCGCCTATCACAACCCAGTCAACCAATCCGATAACCCAAGCCCCCAGTACTGATTCTCACTCGGTTCAGATCACCAATATTCACCTTAATTGTGACAATTATTTACCGTGGTCCCAGTCCGTTCGGATGTACATCAGAGGGCGGGGAAAGATCGGATACCTGACGGGAGACAAGAAGGCACCAGCATCAGAGGACCCAATGTACATGACCTGGGATGAAGAAAATTCAATGGTGATGATTTGGCTTGTGAACTCCATAGATGAGGATATTAGCTCCAACTATATGTGTCACTCCACGGCCAAGAAGCTCTGGGACAACGTGAATCAAATGTACTCTGATTTGGGAAATTAGTCTCAGATCTAATAATTGACTCTAAAACTTGGTGAGATTCGGCAGGGAGAAGACTCGAGCACCAAGTATTTCAATTCATTGAAGCGCCTTTGGCAAGACATGGATTTGTTCAATGATTATGAATAGAAATTCACTGAAGATGCCAATCACTACAAATGGACCGTGGAGGCTCATCGCATTTACAAATTCCTTGCTGGGCTCAACGTGGAATTTGATTAAGTACGAGAACGGATCATTGGCAAGACTCCACTTCCTCCAATTGGTGAAATGTTTGCTGAGGTTCGAAGAGAAGAGAGCCGCAGACATGTAATTTTGGGGAAGAAGACTACCAGCGGACCTATTGAGAGTTCTACCCTTATTGTTGCAGAGACTGCTGCTAATAAAGCAGTCGATTTTCAGCGAAAAACTGAAGAGAAGCCACGGGTCTGGTGCGACTTCTGCAACAAACCGCGCCATACTCGGGAGAACTGCTGGAAAATCCACGGAAAACCAGTGAATTGGAAGAGTAGCAAGCCTAGTGACAGAAATAGGCGTGCAGTTCCTACTGCTAATGAAGCTGAGACAAGTCCCTTAAGCAAGGAGCAGATGGATCACCTTCTGAAGCTGCTGAAATTTAATTCCTCATCTGGTATTCCTAGTGTTTCTCTTGTACAAACAGGTAGTGCACTTAATGCCCTTTCTTGTTGTTTAAATTATACTCCATGGATCATCGATTCTGGAGCCTCTGATCATATGACCAGCCTTTCCAATCTTTTTAGCACTTACTTACCATGTTCTGGCCTTAAAAAAATTAGAATTGCAGATTGTAGTTTCTCACCTATTGCAGGAAAAGGTTTGATAAAATTATCCAAGAATATAGATCTTAAATGTGTTCTCCATGTCCCTAAACTATCCTGTAACCTTTTGTCTGTGAGTAAACTAACCAAAGAATCTAATTGTTGTGTAATTTTCTGTGATTCTTACTATGAATTTCAGGACCGGAGCTCGGGGAAGAAGATTGGTAGTACTAAGATAATAGATGGACCTTACTACTTTGATGGGGACTTCTCCAGTAATAAAAAGGCTCAGGGCCTTAGTAGTGTTAGTTCTAACTCTGTTTATGAACAAATGATGTTTTGGCATTTAAGACTAGGACATCTTAGCTTTCTATATCTTACACATTTGTTTCGTACTTTATTTAAAGGTTTGGATTGTTCATCATTCTATTGTGAAAGTTGTTGCTTATCTAAGAGTCATCGTACTATTTATTTGCCAAAACCTTATACTTTTTCAAAACCATTTTATTTAACACATAGTGATGTTTGGGGACCTTCAAGAGTCACTACTATCTCTAGGAAAAAATGGTTTGTTACTTTTATAGATGATCATACCCGTTTATGTTGGGTTTATTTGATGAATGAAAAGTCTGACGTTGAAAAAAATTTTAAGAATTTTTACACAATGGTTGAAACTCAGTTTCAAGCAAAAATTAGCATTTTTCACACCGATAATGGAATAGAGTATTTTAATGAAATTTTGGGGAGTTTTTTGAAAGAAAAGAGTATCCATCATCAGTCTACATGTGTGGATACCCCTTAACAAAACGGAATTGCTGAAAGAAAAAATAAACATTTACTTGAAGTGGCTCGTGCTATAATGTTTTCAATGAATGTTCCAAAATATCTATGGGGGGAAGCTGTTTTAACAGCTTCATATTTGATTAATAGAATGACTTCACGTGTTTTAAAATATAGCATGCCATTAGAATGTTTCGAAAGAATTTTTCCATTATCAAGGATATACTCGGATTTACCTCTAAAGGTATTTTGCTACATAGCTTTTGTTCATATACCCAATAATACTCGGTCCAAACTTGATTCTCGAGCTGAAAAATGTGTTTTCATAGGGTATGCTTCTAATCAAAAGGGATATAAGTGCTATGATCCCCAAACAAGAAAATTTTATATAAGTATGGATGTCTCTTTCTTTGAAAATAAATCCTACTTTCCCAAAAATTCTCTTCAGGGGGAGAATGAGGTGATGGAAGAAAATTTTTGGGATTTATCTCCTACTCCTTTACCAAATGTGATTTTGACTCCTTCACCTCATCCTACTGTTATTCCCGAAATTCAAAGTCAGGAACAATGTGATAAAACCAATTAAAACAATCAAGGGAATCCTAGTCATATAGTGCCGAACATTACTGGATCTGAAACAGGGGAAGAATCACAACAACCCGGTACTAAAGTTCCCAATACTGAGCCTCTGGTTTATACTCGGAGAATACCTCATCAAAAGAGTCAAAGTCAGCCTATTCCTCTTGGAAATGATCAATCTCAACCTCCGAGAACTGGACCTCCAGATATCACAGGTAATTTTGTTCCTAACTCATCTTCAGTACCTATTGTTTCTCCTAACCAAGAACCATCAGACCTTGATATTCCTATAACTGTTAGGAAAGGTATTCGAATCAAATATCCAAATCCAAAATATCCCATTGCCAAATACCTTTCTTATGAAAAACCCTCTCATACTCGGGGCTTTTACCTCAAAAATCTCACACTTGTTTGTCCCGAGAAACATTCAGGAAGCTCTTGATGATCCGAATTGGAAGTTAGCCGTGATGGAAGAAATGAATGCTCTAAGAAGAAGTGGTACTTGGGAGATAGTTGATTTACCTAAGGAGAAAAGAACAGTAGGCTGCAAGTGGGTCTTTACTGTGAAATGTAAAGTTGATGGTAGCATAGAGAGGTACAAGGCAAGACTAGTAGCAAAAGGGTTCACCCAGACTTATGAAATTGATTATCAAGAAACTTTTGCTCCTGTAGCCAAGATAAACTCAATAAGAATTTTGTTATCTTTGGCTGTGAATTTCAGCTGGCCATTACCAGTTAGATGTAAAAAATGCCTTTTTAAATGGAGATCTTGAAGAGGAGGTCTTTATGAATCTACCACCTGGGTTTGAGGGAAAATTGGGACCTAATAAAGTCTGTAGACTGAAAAAATCTTTATATGGTCTCAAACAGTCCCCTAGAGCTTGGTTTGAGAGATTTGGGAGATCTGTGAAGAATTGTGGCTACTGTCAGAGCCAAGCTGACCATACCATGTTCTACAAACACAGTAGAGAAGGCAAGGTTGCAGTGTTAATTGTCTATGTGGATGATATAGTCTTGACAGGTAATGACAATGAAGAATTGGAGAGACTGAAAAAGAGACTTGCAGCTGACTTTGAGATCAAGGATTTGGGTGCATTAAAATACTTTCTTGGAATGGAGTTTGTTAGATCCAAAGAAGGTATATTTGTGAATCAACGTAAACATGTTCTTGATTTACTTAGTGAGACAGGTCTGCTAGGATGTAAACCAGCCGAGACACCCATTGAGCCCAACCTTAAGCTGCAGCCTTCTAAAGATGAAGAAGTTATGAATAGAGAGCAGTATCAAAGACTTGTTGGAAGACTGATCTACTTGTCACATACACGTCCAGATATAGCTTTTGCAGTCCGCATGGTTAGCCAGTTCATGCATTCACCTGGACAAGTATACTTTGATGCAGTCTACAGAATTTGCAAGTTGAAGCCTATACTGATGCTGATTGGCTGGGAGTGCTATTGATAGACGGTTAACTTTTGGCTACAGCACCTTTGTTGGAGGTAACCTTGTCACCTGGCGGAGTAAAAAACAGAATGTAGTACCAAGAAGCAGTGCAGAGGCCGAATTTAGATCAGTTGCTCATGAAATTTGTGAGGTGTTATGGATTAAGAGACTATTGGATGAATTAAAGGTCTCTAATCCGTTGCCTATGAAATTGTATTGTGACAATAAAGTTGCTATTTCGATCGCTCACAATCCAGTGTTTCATGACAGAACAAAGCACGTGGAGGTAGACAAACACTTCATCAAGGAAAAGCTCGAAAAAGGATTGATCTGTATGTCGTACATTCCTACTACCGAGCAAGTTGTAGATGTGCTTACAAAGGGACTTCATACAAGACAGTTCGACAGACTAATTGGCAAGCTGGCTATGGAGGATATCTTCAAACCAGCTTGAGGGGGAGTTTTAAAAAGGAAAGATTTGGTAGTAATACTACCAAATATTATTAGCTGTAAATATAATATTTGGAGGATATTTGCTGTAAATAGAATATTGGTCAAATACTGTAAATTAGGAAATTATTAATTAGGCCAGCTAGTTATGTGCGTGTATTCTCTCCTATAAAGAGAACCCATGTAAACTTGTGAATTGTGTGCTTAATACAGAAAAAAGGTTTATTCCATATTTCTTTCCTTTCAAGTTTATAATAAGCTTCTCCAAATGTCAATTGTGTGAAATTAGATAAAATGTGGTTGTTTAATCTAGTCATGAGCAGGATTTGGAAAGTGAATGGATTAGGTGTCAATGCTGATGTTACTTTAAAAGATTTCTGGCCCCCTTAAAGTGGAATATTCAACCTCTGTTCGCTACTATTCTGTTCAATTCATTTACTTTACAAAATGTTCCGCATTATTTGAGGTAAGCAAAAAAACAAAATAAAGGCTATCAACAACACAAATCTATAAAAAAAAAATAATAATAATAAAAAAGAAGGTAAAACATGGAAAAAATTTATTCAGAAAGGCACATTGCAAGTGAAGACACGAGCAGCGAATCCTCTCCTCCTTTCTTGAATGTCAAGTGGCAATGAACAAATAATTATACTTCAGCTGTTGTAGGACAATGGAGAAATGTAGGAAAGAGGTTTTATAATCAATCAGATGCTAAACTCATAAATGGAAAAGAAAAGAAGATGAAGAGAAGGAGAACATGATACGCCAACATTTAACCAATAATATATCACTGTCTAAACAAGAGCAAGTATAATGGGTTTTGCAAGCATGCATGCAAATCAGAAAAGGGAAAAAGAAAAGGGTAGAAGAATCTCAAAAGATTTCCAGATTGCGCTTGTGTCTGAGCTCTGGTTGGCAAGATTTCTATGTCCTTAACATATGACCCTCCACTCGATAAAAATTAAGCAAAACCGGATATGGGAGAAAATGACTGAAATGTCTAGATTATCAAGTATAGATTTCTACGTCCTTAACATATGACCCTCCACCTGATAAAAATCTGCTTTCTGTATACCACCACATTATCAAGTATGGAACTATTAAGCATGACAATCCATCATTATAATTCTTCACAGATACCCACCTAAAAAAATCTCACAGCTTTTCAGTAAATCTACAACCATTGCAAAAGCCAATAATGGATAGCCATCTTAATTTTTCCACTTTAAGACCATTGCTTCTAAACATTCGTCAAGTTCAAGTTCAAGCTGTATACTGCTATATATCAGGTTCATCATTACTATCAAATTTATCGCAAATAATAAAACTGAAGAACCTCATCCTCCACCATCAATCAATTCGTCCATATTGAGCACAAATAACCATATCTTCAAGGCAAACCGCCTATCTCTACAAATATTTCTCTAACAAAGCAGTATATAAGTACGTGATTGCTTTATTATTCAACAAAAATTATAACTCTCTTCTTAGTTAACGAAACATGATAAACAGTACTGACAAAACAATATATATATATAGAGAGAGAGAGAGCATCATACGTCAAAAGCATATAGACTAGAGGGAATTAGATGAAGGACCATTACCAATGCAAGAGCTTCTCCCAAACATCTTGTGGTACTAAAACATAATGATGTCCTTCCTCCATTGTTCTAAGAAGCTGTAGATCATCACCCTCACAGTCACTTCCATTTGAAACTATGTCCATATTGTCAATTGGACCTGGTTTATCAGCTGTCTTTGACAGAGTAGAAGACTGTGAATCAGTAGAATGTTCATCATATGAATAACCACCAATGTCTTGCCCAGTGTATCTCTGCCAGCCTGTGAACCACCTACCCAAAAAACAGAAAGAACAAGGTTACATCAACATGAAAAACAAAATTTAAAAATGTTACCAGCACAAAGTTCATTAAAGAGATTGCAGCTGCAAGATGCAGATGACTAATGCTACCATGAAATGATAGTAACCACATAACCATTCACGAAAAGCACAGCGAGATTCTTAAAAATATAAAACATATTATTAAAATTAGGCCTGACTGAAAAATTCAGCCAGGATGACCATTTGCAATAGTTACTAATGTAGTATTTTTTTTAGCATCCAACAAAAGTACTTGTCAGCAGATATGATACCCACATGAAATGTCTCACAGGATAAATCTGACACTGCCACATTACAAAATAAGGAAGGAAATAAATGTTTTAAATAACCAAAAGAAATATGTCTTAAACGCGTGTGCCAACACATAAGCTGGGCTTTATTAGATGAAACAAAATTAGAAAATGAAGCGGAATGTGCTTGAGGTGACAAAGGAACATCCAATAGGTATAGACCGTCCACTTCATGCCCCTGCCAAGCTGACCAAAAGCAAAAAGCAAGTCAAGAACATACTTGCGTTGAGAGATAAAAATGCCAGCATCGGAGCAAGCCAACTCAATGCCCCAAAAGTACCGTAGGGGACCAAGATCCTTAATCTCAAACTGACGGATAAGATAGCTCTTAACCTCAACAATTCCAATAGTATCATCTTCGGTAAGAACAATATCATCGACATACACAATGAGAGCAATTGTCTTACTACTTGAATGACGTAAAAACAAGGTATGATCAGCTGCACTTTGATGGAAACCAAACTTGAGCATAGCAGTGCCAAAGCGATCAGACTAAGCTCGAAGAGACTACTTGAGGCCATACAGAGAACAACGAAGACGACATACCATACCAAAACGAGCAAGAGAACGAAAGCCCGAAGAAGGAACCATGTACACCTCCTCCTGCAAATCACCACTGAAAAAGGCATTCTTGACATCTAACTGAAATAGAGGCCAAGATCGAATCGCAGCAATGGAAAATAATACACAGATGGTATTCATCTAGGCAACAGGGGCAAAAGTCTCTTGATAATCTATGCCATTAGTCTGAGCATAACCCTTGGCAACCAACCGGGACTTGTAACAAGTAACTGACCCATCTAGATTATGCTTAACTCTAAACACCCAACGACAACCCACAGCCTTTCGTCCAATAGGAAGCGAAACCACGTCCCAAATCTGATTTTTCTTAAGTGCTTGTAGTTCTTCTGTTATAGCATCACGCCATTGAGGTTGTGCTAGTGCATCTGCAACACTAGAAGGAAGAGGAACCGACGCAACAGAAACAAGAAAACTCCGATAGGAGGGTGAGAGAGCACAATCAAAAACAAAATTAGAAATAGAGTATGTATAAGAACGTTTACCCTTTCGAAGAGCAATGGGGTGATCATCAAACGAAACAATAGCTTAAGAAGGCGGAACTGGTGCCGAAGGAACAGGGTAGTCGATCGTGGGAGTAGAAGCTTATAACTGTTGTCTCCGCCTAGAAGCCTGTGGAAAAAGGAACAATTCCCCCTGTTGGAGAGGTATCACGAGGAGGAATCATAGAAGACGAAACAGGTAACGGTAGAGGAGTTGAAGACGAAGAAGGTGATCATCCATTATATTCAATAGGAACCATTCACTTTGAGAACCAACTGAACCACTATAGTATGGCGTATGCTCAAAGAAAGAAACTGTTGAAATATCTTTATTATTTTTATTTTTATTAGCTGTTTTTAGCCTTTTATTAAATGTTTTATGTAAGATCCCTATAATCATGGATCACGTAGATAAGATCCATGTAATTATGGGATCCCATAGATAAGATCCCCGTAATCATGGGATCCCATAGATTTTGGCATATTTTATGTCTTTCTTTGATTTGGTTTCCTTTCTTTATACCCTATTCTTGTATATAAATATAGATCTTGACTCTCAGTTTGAGTAAGCCAAAACACAAAACTTCTTCTTTTTGGTATCAGAGAAAAACAAAAACCTTCGCCTCCCATCTTCCTTCCCAACACCGCCACCTTCTCTCTCTCTCTCTCCATTTTCCCTCACCTCTGGCGCACCTCCATCTCTTCCCAGCACTTGCACCGTACCCCTCGGGTAACCCTCTATTTTTTACTCCTTTTTTAGGAGAATTCCCTTAGGTTTTTTTATGATCTAAGGGTCCTTCTGGTGTTTTTTTTTTTTTTTGTGGGCTGCCGGTGTTTGTTCGGCAGCGTATTTGGTGGAAAGCGCCGATTTTTCCGGCCTTATTTTTTCTCTTTCCTCCCTCTTCAATTTGTGGACCAGCCTTAGTTTGATACTATGAGTGATTCTAGTAGCCAAAATGACACTTTATCTTCGGGCCGTGGCCACACTACCACAATAGCCAATACTATTGGTCGGTATACTACTCCACAGATTGTTGTCCCTCCTGCTTCAACTCCTCCCAGATCATCTTTTCAGGACTTCAAATAGTTACAGCCCCAGATTGGTCAGCTTCAGAAGCAGTTCGGAGCCTTATCTACCAGGGCCTGCTCTTCTACTCCCACGACTACTATAGCTACAGGTACTCCTTCTGCTTATCATGTTAAAGCAGGAAAACCGACTTGGGTTCTGGATTCCGGAGCCAATGATCACGACTCGTGAGTTGTCATTATTTTCTACTCCCGTTACCCCTATTAATTAGGCTGTTAGTCTAGCCGATGGGTCAACCACCATTATTCGTAGCAAAGGAAATGTTCATCTATCCCCTGACATTATTATTGTCATCTGTGCTTTATGTTCCTAACTTTGCATTTAATCTTCTTTCGGTTAGCAAGCTTTGCCAAATCACTAAATTGTGCAGTTATTTTCTTTCCTCATTACTGTGTTTTAAAGGACCTGTGTTCGAAGAGGATTTTTGGCAGGGGATATGAGCACGATGGCCTCTACTACTTTTGGGATCCTCCACTGACACCCCCTCCACTTGCTTCAAGCCTTCAAGCCTCTGTTCTTCCATTTTCGAGGTCTTATGATTTTTCTTTTCAGACTTAACGTTTATGGCATGCTTGCCTTGGACATGTAAACTTTCAGTATTTATGTCTACTTATCCCTTCATTAAAAACGGCTTGCAAGGATAATAAGTTTCAATGTGAGAATTGTGAGCTTTCTAAACATACTAGAACCAGTTATATTTCTCATATGCATCGTGCACCTAGTATATTTGATCTCATACATTCTGATGTGTGGGGTCCTTCTCCTGTTACTGCTTTTTCGGGGAATCATTATTATGTCACATTCATTGATGATTATTCCCGTTGCACATGAGTATATTTACTTAAAAAGAAATCTGAAGTTTTTCCCTTGTTCACTCAATTCCTCCAAATGATCAAAACTCAATATAAAACTGTTGTTAGGAATATTAGGTTTGACAATGGTCGTGAATACATTCCAATGAGTTTCGGTCTCAACTTAACCAACAGGGTATTCTTCATTAGCTTACTTGCCCATATACCCCTGAACAGAATGGTGTTGCAGAGCGTAAAAACCGCCAACTAATGTCAGTTGTTCGATGTCTTTTAAGTGGTATGAATGTGCCAAAGTTATTTTGGCACATGGCGGTTCTTACAGCTACTTTTCTCATTAATCGTACCCCTAGTATAGTCTTAAATGGTAAGGCCCCCTTACAAGTGCTTCAGCCTGATATTACTCTTTTTTCCATCATCCCTCGGGTGTTTGGATGTACATGTTTTGTTCAGAATTGTAGCCCTTCTCATATTAAACTTGATGACAAGGCCATTAAATGTATCTTTTTAGGATACTCTTCCATGTCAAAAGGTTACCGGTTTACACAAACACATGTATCACTCACTTGATGTCACCTTTCATGAGCATTCCCCTTTTTATGGTTCTACCACTATCTTGCAGGAAACTTCTACTCTCGATCAAGAGGCTTCTCATCTTGCTCGTCCTCTTCCTATTTTCCAAGAAGAGTCTTCTCTTGTTGTTTCCTCACCCACTTTGCAGGTCTATTCACGCCACCCTCGTGCTCCGCCTCAATTGCCTTCATCCTCCTCAGACTCAAGTTTAGGTATATCTCTCTCTCCTTTACATTGCCCTGACCCTATTCCTGTTCCTTAGTCTCGGTATCCAACTCAAGACCGCAAACCCCCGCTAGATTTGGATTCGTTTGTAGTACTGATCATCCTATTTCGCAGTATATCTCTTATGATGGTCTTTCAAGGTCTTACCGAGCCTTTCTAGGCAAACTTGATTCCATTTTCATTCCTAGAACGTTGTCTGAGGCTTTCCGGAATCCCAATTGGATGTCTGCTATAAAGGTAGAAATGGATGCTTTGCAGCATAATGAAACATGGGAGCTTGTATCTCTCCCTCCTGGTGAAAAGACTGTTGGTTGCAAATGGGTATTCAGTGTTAAATATCTGGTTGATGGTTCTATTGATCGGTATAAAGCCCGCTTGGTGGCCAAAGGGTTTACTCAGATTCTTGGTAAAGACTTTAATGATACCTTCGCTCCTGTGGCTAAATTGACCTCAGTTCGTTTGCTTATCTCCCTTGCTGCCTCTCACAATTGGCCTCTTCATCAGCTTGATGTGAAGAATGCTTTCCTTAACGGTGATCTTCTTGAGACTATTTACATGGATCCTCCACACGGTTTTCGAACTGAGGGGGAGTATGCCGGAAAGGTCTGTCGATTGCGGAAGTCTTTGTATGGATTAAAACAATCTCCCAGAGCTTGGTTCAGCCGCTTTAGTGATGTAATTCTATCCATGGAGTTTGTTAGATGTCATTCTGACCATACATGTCTTATCCGTCGTTCCTCCAATGGTCGATGTATCATTTTGCTTGTCTATGTTGATGATATCATCATTACTGGCAATGACATCCCTGGGATTGCTCAAGTAAAGCTTCAACTGGCTAACGCTTTTGAAGTGAAAGACCTTGAGCAGCTCAGATATTTCTTGGGAATTGAGTTTGCTAGATCTAA